CCAGTAGTATCACTGGCGAACTCTAGCCGTAGAATCATTTTGTAGAACCCGGTGAGTCATCTAAGCCGTCCTATCTTAAATTACCTCACGAAATCCCTCTTGACGTAATAATTAATAAAAGTTCCTCTTATCTCGTTCTCCTATCGAGACAAATAAGTCCAACTAGCTACCATAGTTCGCGATCGCCGATAAAACGTCAACACGTGATGCGAAAGTACGAATTCGCTGCGAATTTACAGAATCGTAAAATAGTCTCTCTCGACGCGCGATAATTGAACAGAAGTTTCTTTCGTTCGTTCTTCTCTATCCGAGATATGCAGAAGTCGACCTGGAATTGTTAAGTGTACTTTGGAACAATGGGTAAATTGTTAACGCTTGATTGGAAAGATCAAAGATGCTGTAACCGAATGAAAATTGCAGTAACAACCGCGAGAGTTCTCGGCACTTTGCGATTCATTGAATAGGCGCTGCTTCGATTCCGCGGTATTTTCGCGGTTTCCGGTGTCGCGGGCGCGCGAATAAAATATCACAACTATGCAGGTCTGCGTTCGAAAGAATCGTGCGAGCCTGTTTAAGCAACAATTTCGAATTTCGAGCCACGTGATCGAACAATTTCGTGCCGAGCTAGCCGTCCCCCGATGGTATAATCGTGGTAAAAATATCCACGTAGAAATCTGTTGTTTCTTTCAAAACGCGCCGCACGCTACTGCGAAACAAGAAACGCAGTTTCATCGGGGCGGCTGAAATTCTTTCAACGAGTATGTTCGCAGTTGCCAGAGTGCCATGAAACATTGCGGCCCGTACGTGATCGATACAATTAATTTTCCGATGGATACGCGAGACTCTAGAATAATCCGGCACCGTGAAAAGTTGCCGGGGAAAATTGAGAAGCGAGCGGCGACGAAAGTTCTCGTCAAAGGGACAAAAAAAAAGAAAAACGGAACTCCGAATAATTTCGGGCGTGAATATTTTAAGGCGGTGATCAGTATTCCGTCGGTGTCTCGCCCGCCCTCCTCCGCCCGGTGTATTTTAGCAGGCGTCGTGAAACGAAAAGCGGGAAAAAAAGGAAATGATCTTGACACTTGGTTTCAACCGTACACCGCCGCTCGAAAATGCTCGGCCGTTGAAAAGCGTTCGTTTGGCCTTTACGAATCTACTTTTATCGAAGGTAGAAGGCCTACGGCCTGGAACAGGTTTCCTCTCACCGCTCTCACTTTCTGCGACACATTTCGATGTATATCGACCGCTGGGATAACCGGGGGATCGATCGCGAAGCGATTTTTACCGTTTCGGTCGGATTAACGAGACAAAGACGTGAATCCGATCCGAAAATATCGACGGAATCGGGACCCGGAAGAGCGAAGCAGGCTTCGATAGCTTGGGAAGAAGAGACGCGCTTCGGTACTTGCAGTGTTTCTAATTAGAATCTCTAGCATTCCGCTTTATTTTGCCGCTGCGGAAAGAACGATTCAACGCGTTAAGTGCCACGTGGACTACATATGGTCTATGCGTATAATCTTTAAATAGGTTTGATCGAATTTTTCTTCGAATTTTTAGAACGAGTATAAATAAAGCAACATCCACACCATGAGCAATTTGATCTTTCTAGTTTCGGTTAATGATTTCGTTTAATTTGGATTCGATCGATTTTGCGGGAATTTATCGAGGTCGATGGTCGGCACTTCGTTCAATCGAGCGGAATAAAACAGAGGAACGTCGAAGGAAACACGGTGAAAGGGGTGAAGCATTTCGCAAGGGTGAAGATAATTGCGCAACAGTGCGGATTCGCGAATTATAGTCGCCTGCGATCGGCAAATAAAGAAAGATTAGTCGGAGGCGTGTATCGATTTCCTGCAACGTTGTGTGCAGCTATTGCACACGATCGTGTTTGCCGTCCATCGATTAGATGCCGGAGGAATTCGAGAGTGAACGTCTGGATTACAGCCGAAGAACGTAATGCAGTTACGAGGCGCTGGTAATTGCATCACGTGCCGCGACCCACTGTCGACCGCTTAGGAATAGTGTCAATGTCGTTGCCCCCGACGGTTTTTACTTTTTCAGTGCTCGTCAAAGTAATTCGAACGATTACACGGCCGGGGTAAGATCGAATGCGTTTCGCAAAAGGTGAAAGGGAACAGCTTCGACCGGTACGATCGATAGATTCATGGACAATTATTATTCATTCGCGTCAACGCTGTTCATAATTCACCGGAAGACGCTCTCCGCAAGTCGATTATCGACTCTCATTTTCCAATACAATGAGCGCGCATTTTGATTTATGCGAATTCCGGTTCTGGCACACTGTTGTGTAAAAAGCAGAGTAAGCACTAAGTTTTAGAGGAGTGCGAACAAATCGTTGGAGTTCTGCAATTGCTACTTTAAGCCAATTGGAAAGTTTCCGAATGCTTTTCGAAGGGGAAACGCAAAATTTTCTGCGTTCACAAGAAAATGAGAGAATTTATTGCACGACCCCTAATGGGTTTAACGTTTGTCCTAAGCCTCTACTTAACTCTCCCCCCAACCCCTCTCCCATTACTCGGTACAAGTCGGCGCTTTAGAACTTGTTCAATGTCTCCCGTTACTAGGGCGAGTAACATTATCCTATAGAGACGATTGAACAAATATTCAGAGGTAGGGAGTGGTTCGTCGATGATAAACATTCCTCTAAACTCGCAAACATGACTGAATTATGTATCTATCAGACTCGATTCAACTTGACTATCTGGATAGATTAGATTGTATCCATGTTTGCCGTTCACGCAATTAATACCTCGACTGCCGCATTGGTCACAATTCCTTCACGAATTTGACTGCGAAGTTGAAGAGAATTCGTTACATTGCGAAATCGATTGTTAAAAACGCTTCTCTCTCTCTCTCTCTCTCTGGAAATATTTCCGAGATTATACGCATCGAAGCATGAAGGTTCCAGGGTCTACTTTGACCCAGAATATCAAAATCACGATCAAATTCCTCAATTTCTAGAAAATGATCTTCTGGAACGCGGCAGAAGCTCGCGAGACCGGAGATTTTTAGGGGGCCGAAGTTTATCGGTGTCAATTGATAAAAGTAACTTAGATAAATACTCCGTGAACATGGCGAATCGGGAGCCTAACCCGGAGACCACGTGTTCGAAAGTTCGTTTCGTAGCGGAGGAAGGGCTGTCGCCGAGAAGGAGATCACAAACGTTCGTTATGCAAATGAAGAAAGAGACCGTAGCTGACGTGTTAAGAGGCCTTGATTGCCAGCACGATTCTAGCCGGTGCCACGTGCACCGAAAAACTTCGTCGTCAATACCGAGATAACGCGATCGAATCGGACCTACAAAATATCCCCCATTATTATCGTCGCTAACGATCGCCGACACCTGAACGAGCATGGCTCGTGTGGAATCTGCTCTCAAGTTCTTCTCACTCGAACGTGTTCGTGCTTCCATATCGTGATCGGCAATTTCAGAAAAGTTATTGCGATTTGGAAAGAAATCGACACAGTTTCTCGATGCAAATTCTGCACCAATGTTTCAGGCATTATCGAGAGTATATTAATGTATAATTATTATGCATTTATCTGGTTCATGAATATATCCTTGGTAGAGTTCTCGACGTTGCTTGGGTTCTTTAATACTCGATTCGGATCCGAGTACTCGGGTATTTATGTACATAACCGGCTCAGAACCGGAGTTATCATTATGCGCTTGCATTAGAATAGATATATTCTTTTTATCATTAGCAAACGTATAATAACAACATGATTAATTTGAATTGTCAAAATTATATGAAACATCTTTGCGCTATAAATTGTGTTCACGTTTAGATCATGTACACGATTAATCTATTATTCCGTTAATGTTTGGTTGATAGGAATTATTTTGCAGCTCGATAATACATACGATATTTTGGAAATAGTTCGTCCCGAGATTCGTAAAAATAATCGGATGAAAATTTTAGAGAAGCGAAATTCGTATTTGACACGTGTCTACTCATACTCCTAATTTCGAAATGAATATCTCACCTAGAAACAGACAGCTCCCACAGTGTCCGCAGAACGACAACATTCGAACAAAATCCGCTCTTTCAGAAATTTAGAAACTATTCGTAATCCGTAAACAGAAATGCAATTCGTAAATGCATTTTGTGAACAGGAAACATTCGATACAGTGTTCTGACTAGTATTTCGCAAACATTGTCCGTTAAAATTAATCGTGTACAGTCTTATTCATAAATTAATTAATTTTCAAGAATATGTATAGAATGTAAAGTATATAGCAAATATACTTCTCATTTCAATACAAAAATTACTATTAATAAAATGTAATGTGAAGGAGACTTCAATAGTATCGAGTGCAAAATACATTGCAAATAAAAATCAATTATTTTGGTGCACCCCCATCAATGGAAAGTAATTTGATAAAATAACTATCAGAATAACAAGAATTTTTCTGCTCGTATATACAGCAGTCATTATACATATACTGCAACATTGTGTAATATGCTTTGAGTAAGTTTCCATTAGCCTCCCAAATGTTAAATACGTATCAGCAGTACCTTCAAAGATGGTAGTTCCATATTCTTGAAGTTGATAAGAGTATCTTTCATCACATGTACAAAGTACAAGGCCGATTTGATACAAAAACCATGAAATAAAAGGACTTGAAAATTTATTGGCCCTTATATGTATTCCTATATGTAATCAAGATACCTTACTTAAATCTGCATGTATATGTATTCATTGGGTCATTTAAAAATATATATGTCTATCATATAATTATCGCTATCTCTGTTTAACAGATAAGTCAAAATCTATAAAAATTTACACCATGCTGTAAATATTTATCAAATCTTAAGAAAGTAATAAAAAATATTTTAAATGTCTCACTAAAATACATTTTAAAAAGTAACAAATTTTATGTTCAAAGTCAAGATAGTATTTTCAATGAGTGTACCTTAGCATAATTTCATGCAATGATAAAAAATAAACATTATTGAACACGAACAAACACTTACCAACTATTCCCTGTTGTTGAGGTTGCAAGACCCGCTTTTCTTTTTCAATCGGTTTCTCCACAGTCGGTAAGCTCACAGGAGGTATAGGTAACGGAATCGCAATAACAGAACTGAGCGGAGGATCTTGTGTCGTGGATTTGCTTTTGGTCCAAGGATTGACAGTTGGCAGAGGTGCCTCGATATATTTCACTGGAGGCTGACCCAGTGTATCGAAATCAGCCTCCAGCTCCTCTCTCTCTTTCGGAGTTTCTTTGCTTCCTACAATAGAATCAGCACCTGTTCTCTCTCCTCTCTCTCTTAGTTCCTTATGGGCTCTCTCATTGCTTCCATTATGTCCTCGCAGAGGATGCCTGTGTTCTCTGTGTTTGTGTTGTTCTTTGTAATCCCGTTGATGCTCTCGCAGCTTCTCCTTTCTTCTAGCACTCTTCGGAGCCACCGTTTGAAATTCCCCATCGCTTCCTATGTCCCCATTCATCTGCTCGTTTTCGCCCACATTTTTCTGCTTCTGCTCCGCTCCTTCTCTGGGGAGACCTTCTTTCTCAGTAGCCAGCTGATTTTGTTTAGCAGCCGAAAATTCGCTAGTGTATGGCCTGTCCAGTTTTACCTGAGGATTGAATCTCCTTCCACTTTTCTGGTAAGACTTGCCTCTGACTGTGAGGTTCTGTGATACCATATGATCTTTGATGGGCATTGATTGGGCCACTTGACTGCCGATGTTCTCCTTGTTGTTGTCCTTGGTGTTCGGAGGCCGGTTCTCGGTGTCGCTTCTCGGGTTTACGATACTTGCGTAAGACACCTTGGGGCCCTCCTCCCTCTTGGCACTGCCCTGGCCGCCGCTGGCCACCTTGGCCGCCATCTTGAACGGCACGCGGCGAAAGAGGAAAACACGAGGTCTCGGAGCACGAGGAGTCCGGAAAGTCTTTTTACAGGACGATGAGGACTCTCAGGCAGTCGAGGGGTCCCGGGACGCGTCGAACACCCTGGAGCACATCAATCCTGTCCGGCTGCCTCGTTGCAAGACTGTAAGTATCGAGAGCTGTTCGCGAGAGTCGACTCGGCTTTACTACACCAACCTAGGCACATCCTCCGCGCTGTGAACCGGACGCATGTCTCGCCGGAGTCGCCGTGCAATTGTCGCACGAACGAATCGAATTTCGGAAAGAGGCACGTGTCGAACGCCGCGTCACCGAGATTATGCGTATGTTCTCTTTCAGATCAGCGAGGGAGAGAGAACGCCCACTCGGCAGGCTCGTCACGAGGGTTCGCCGTTTCCAGAAGGCGCGGCGTGCACGCACGCGGTCGTTAACAAACGATCCTCTGAATATTCTTTCTCCCCGCACGTGTCCACGATACGATTGTCGAAACCCTGACGATTCGAGATCGACTCTGCAGTTTCCGACACGTTCTTAAACACACGTACCCGAGAACTTCGGAACACACGAGGCGCGACAGGGCTGTGCGTGGTTAAGAACACGCTGACTCGGCGATTTCACGAGAGCCGAGCGCAAAATTAACCGGCACGGGATTATCGAACGTGTACCTTTTTAAGGGCGGACCCGTGGTTGATCGTGGTATAGAACAGCGAGGCAACAAGAGTTACAGGACAATCGGAGCACACCTTGTCGGGCCTAGAATTTATCTTCGGGTCGGATCTTCTTTTGTAATTCCTGGGTTTTCCTTCGTAGTTCCCTTCGTGGACGGGCAGAGAGGTTTTGTCACAACTGCGATGAATTCGGAGGCACCGTTTTTAATGTCGCGTTAACACGGATTACGTAAACACGGCATTTTCGGCGACCTTTTTCCACGGAAAAGCGGTCCACAAAACACATGTGGCCAACGCTGGCTCCTGGCCTTTACGCGAGCGGCTACAAAGCTTCCGGTTTGATCGATTATAGTTTCTGAACGACAGACGGCGACACTGTGCTTCCTCTTCAACCAAGACCCGCGAGAGGGCAAGTTGAGATTAATGAAGAATAGTATCTGGCAAGGACTCGATGCCTTATCGAAGTCAAGAGTGGTGGGGGCATCTTTTAGTTACAGGAGTGCCTCTCCGTAGTGAGCCAATCAGGGGCCAGCCGGCTTCGAATTAAGAAGCAGGTAGGGAAACTGCTTCTCCTCTGATTGGTTGACCCTTCACAGCTGAACAGTGCTGTCCCCACAGTTTTAGACAAAGAGAGAAAGTGGCGAAATAAAAACAGTTAACAAATATGTATCCTCATTATGATTCGAATAATTGTACAATGGTTAAATAAATAGACGGAGTAGTTTGTTCGAATAAATAAATGGAATAGTTTGTTCAAATAAATAGATAGAATACTTTAATCGAATAAACAAACGGTACAGATTGATCGAATAAGTTAACTGAACAGATCGATAGAATAAATAGACGGAACAAATCGAACTTATTCAAACTATGTAGTTCGAAATTATTTCGAATAAATATCTCACTAATATAATTGTCCAAATCCTCAATATTCCAACAAATCGTTTTTGTTTTTACGTAGTAAACAGTGAACAAAATCATTTTCATCGTGAAAATAAATATGCGTCTAATGCACATTTGTATGCTGTGAAATCGTTATTTCACAGCATACAAAAGGAAGGAAGTACCTAGACCAGCAATAAAACGATTAAGGATACCTGTGAAAATTTTTATTGTTTGAGCCCTCTCTCGGTCTTGGGACCGCCAGGCCGGGCGGTTCACAACCATAAATCATGGGCCATTTAATGTAGGCAATTACTAAATTAAATTATAGCCTTTCTACGAGAATATGAATGCAAGTTTCCGCTTGGTTTTCCAAATTTTTGAAAGTAAAAATCGCATGAAATTAAGAAATTATTCATTGCTTATGAAAATCCTTCTCGCAGAGTAGAACATTGATTGCTGGTCGTCCCAGTTGACAAGTACTGGGATGGCTGTATTAACAAAATTTTGTAGAGTCATAAACTAAAAACCGTTAGCTAAAATGTAGGTAATTTTCGGGTTTTCGAAACTTTTAATAATTTTACAAATGATCGTAGTTTCAAGACCTTCGCAAATACACTAGACTATGAGGTCGAGAATCCTACCTGGCTAAAAGTACAAGTTGAATATTGCGCCGCGTGTTTCAGATAGAGCGCCAGAGACAAACGGGTACGCGAATAGAGTGAAGACGAAACAGCGTTAAGTGAGTACTCTCGTACTCTCTTGCTCATTCGCTACTTTCTCTTTTTTGATTAAAACTGCGAGGATAGCACTGTTTAGCTGTAAAGCATCAAACAATCAGAGGAGAAGCAGTTTCTTTACCTGCTGTATTATCCTAAGCCGATGCCCCGCAGCGGCTTACAATAGTCACCATAATGAGCGAAGCGGGGATAGCCAGCTTAGTAACATGAAGCGGGTAGAGAAATTTGATTGGTTGATGATTCACAGCTAAACAGTGCTGCCCTTACGGTTCTAGACAAAGAGAGGACGCGATGAGTGAGCAAGAGAGTATAATATCAGCATAAAGTCACACCGACCACCAATGTAGCTTATCTCACTTTATCGTACTTGGGTTCTCACTCTTTTCGCGCATCCATATGCCTGATGCTTCATCTAACACACGTGGCGCGATAATTCGACTTGCACTTTTCGTCCCATAGGATTCTCGATCAAACAGTCCAACGTATTTGCGAACGTCTTGAAACAACGATTATTTCTACAATTATTAAAATTTTCGAAAACCCGTATGGTACATTTTAGCTAATGATTTCTACTTTATGAATCAACAAAATTTTTTTAATTCAGCCATCCCAGTACTTTTTAACCGAGGCGATCAACAATCAATATTCTACTGTACGAGAAGGAGTTTCGAAAGCAACGAATAATATCGAAATTTTATACGATTTTTGCTGTTAAAGATTTGAAAAACGAAATTGAAACTTGCATCCATATCCTCTTAAAAAGACTACATATTTAATGTAGTAATTATCTACAAGAAAATTCTCAAACTCAGAGTTTTATAGAATTAGAGTTAAGAATTATTTGTCAAGTATATTATAATTATTGAAATGTTTGAACCCTAAGTTACATTCGTAGCTAATGGTTTTTAGTTTACGAATCTACAGAATTTTTTTAATTCAACCATCAGTCAATATTATCCAGTACTTTTTAACTGAGGCGATCAGCAATCAATATTATACTGTACAAGAAGGAGTTTCGAGAGCAACGAATAATATCACAATTTTATACGATTTTTGCTGTTAAAGATTTGAAAAACGAAATTGAAACTTGCATCCATATCCTCTTAAAAAGACTACATATTTAATGTAGTAATTATCTACAAGAAAATTCTCAAACTCAGAGTTTTATAGAATTAGAGTTAAGAATTATTTATCAAGTATATTACAATTATTGAAATTTTTGGAAATCCGTAAGTTACATTCGTAGCTAATGGCTTTTAGTTTACGACTCTACGATTTACATTTCTATCAGGTAAAGAAAATGCTTTCCAAGCGTTAAGGATAGGTAATAAAAATGAAAGGACTTAATTGCTTGAAAAGCCTCATTCAGGTATTTTCTGAAATTTTAATATTGCAGCGCCTTGTGTTTAAAATGTTTTTCTTTATTATAGCTTTCAAAAGTATAGGATCTGGGTTTGTACCTTTCGTCAATTTTACGATTCGTCTTAATGACCCGTCTTAATGACCCCTCTCCCACGTTGAGGCTCCGCTAGGAACAAACTTTGCAATCTTTCTTTATGCCAGTAACAATTACATGCAGTTTCCCGTTTAAACGAATTTCGTCAGAGTTAGACGTCGAATTTGAAGATCTATCTCGTGGTTGACAAAAATCTCCTCTCAATTTGTTGATCAAAATTTTGCGAAAGTTCAAATGTGTAACTGGCTGTTCGTTCCTCTGCCTTTTTACATGTTTGTAGAAAATGTACGAATTGATTAAACAAACTTCCAGTCGCCAGGAAAACAATTTGAGCCACCACTTCAGGGACTTTCTCATAAAACAGTACGTTGAACAATGTTTTAGAGAATTTGGTATAATTGAAGAATTATACTATTATTATATTATTGTAGAATTTGGTATAATTTATAACAGCTTTGGGTTTTGTATAAGTGTAAGGGGATTCTTATCGATACTGGGAGGTCCGGTCTTGTTTCTTGTTTCCGTTGTAAGGCTGCCATGGTAAGGTAAAATTCCGCAAATACAACCAGTATTTGAATTTGTCAGTGTGTAAATTCGGATGCTCGAGCCATTATCAGAGCCGTAAGTCTTAGAAAAACATTTTATTAATTAATATTTATCTTATCTCTGATCTAATGTGTCTTTTCACACTTCGTATGAAAGAATAACAACAGCTAAGGAACGTTAACAACAACAGCTAACGAAAACAAAACATAAAAACCAACTGTCGCCTCTCACTCGCTACTCGTCCTGTCGCGTAAAATGCTATGGTGACCGACAGTCGCTTCTCGTCCGCTAAGGGTTCATTATTTGTGGTGAAAATTTTATTTAAATATTTCTAATGGTTCAAAAGTTGTAACAACTTGACTTTGAATTTTCCAAATCGTCGCAAGGATGTAAAATAGCTGGGACACGGGCCACGAAATATGCAGTATGGGGGGCCCTTTTCGGAGCCTCAAATTCATTGTAGCCTCATTCACTCCAGAAGTACTAATATCGATGCGATAATACAATTCCACTTTCTGATAAATACGAAATTATTTGTTGCTTACGAAACTCTTTCTTGTAGAGTATAATATTGACTGATGACTAAATTAAAAAAATTCTGTAGCCAAAAACCATTAGCTACGAATGTAACTTAGGGTTCAAACATTTCAATAATTATAATATACTTGGTAAATAATTCTTAACTCTAATTCTATAAAACTCTGAGTTTAAAAATTTTCTCGTAGATAATTACTATATTAAATATGTACTCTTTTTAAGAGGATATGGATGCAAGTTTCAACATCATTTTTCAAATCTTTAACAGCAAGAATTGTATAAAATTGCGAAATTATTCGTTGCTCTCGAAACTCCTTCTCGTACAGTAGAATATTGACTGCTGATCGCCTCAGTTAAAAAGTACTCGGATGGCTGAATTAAAAAAATTTTGTTGACTCATAAAGTAGAAACCATTAGCTAAAATGTAGCTTACGGGTTTTCAAAAATTTCAATAACTGGAATATACTTGATAAATAATTCTTAACTCTAATTTTATAAAACTCTAAGTTTGAGAATTTTTTTGTAGATAATTACTACATTAAATATGTAGTCTTTCTAAGAGGATATGGATGCAAGTTTCAGCTTCATTTTTCAAATCTTTAACAGCAAAAATTGTATAAAATTGTGATATTATTCGTTGCTCTCGAAACTCCTTCTCGTACAGTAGAATATTGACTGCTGATCGCCTCAGTTAAAAAGTACTCGGATGGCTGAATTAAAAAAATTTTGTTGACTCATAAAGTAGAAACCATTAGCTAAAATGTAGCTTACGGGTTTTCAAAAATTTCAATAACTGGAATATACTTGATAAATAATTCTTAACTCTAATTTTATAAAACTCTAAGTTTGAGAATTTTTTTGTAGATAATTACTACATTAAATATGTAGTCTTTCTAAGAGGATATGGATGCAAGTTTCAGCTTCATTTTTCAAATCTTTAACAGCAAAAATTGTATAAAATTGTGATATTATTCGTTGCTCTCGAAACTCCTTCTCGTACAGTAGAATATTGACTGCTGATCGCCTCAGTTAAAAAGTACTCGGATGGCTGAATTAAAAAAATTTTGTTGACTCATAAAGTAGAAACCATTAGCTAAAATGTAGCTTACCGGTTTTCGAAAATTTTAATAATTGTTTAAATGATCGTCGTTTCAAGACGTTCACAAATACGCTGGACTGTGTGGTCGAGAATCCTATGGGATGAAAAGTACAAATCGAATATCGAGCCACGTGTTTCAGATGGAGCATCAGGTATATGGATGCGCGAAAAGAGTGAGGACCCAAAACGATAAAGCGAGACGGCTTACGTTCTCGTCCGTGTGGACAGTCCCATAGAATTCGCTGGTTTCATTCTGTCTCTCTCGATCATCTCCCGTTCTCTTTCTAAAGCAACTACGCGAACCTGAATCTGTCTCTTATACACATCTAGATGTGTATAAGAGACAGGTTTCATTCTGTCTCTCTCGATCATCTCCCGTTCTCTTTCTAAAGCAACTACGCGAACCTGAATGCGCAGTGGTGGGGATAAAAATGCTTACTATGGTGAAGCAGAATTGCTCATTAAGGTGAGGCATGACTGTACTACGGTACCTGTACCTGTTCGGTCCAAAGCTTCGGGGCAATCATTACTGACCTCTGGTTCTGTAGAGGTCATCCCTTTTAAACATGAAAACTATTTTAACATTTAAAATTAATATTTTTGTTTGATGTCTGGATTGTGGAAACTTTCTGCTTTTGCTTCTTCTCTCCTACTGCTGTGTTTTGTATGCGGCTTTAACAAAGAATTAAATATTTGAATAGGTACAAACAATTCACTTGTCTTGCTTGATGAACAGAAATTAGTACATTTCATCGTCATAAACTTGAGCAAATTGTATAAAAATCAATAATTCTAATTTTAAAATTTGTAACTTTCTATTGTCGCTATGAATGACCGATTAAATTTAAATTCAGTTTTTTATGAGTTAGTAAAAGATTTAAATATTCGTTTCCAGTTTATACAATTCAAATTGACCGCCGTGTAATTTCATAAATAATCATGCTTCTTTCCAGTTTTCAAAACCGAACGGCTGCTGTGTATTTTTTTATTATACATTTTTTACACAATATATTACAATTTATTTGCATTTCGTTGGGTATTTGTTACACATTGTTTTTTCCTTTTTTATAATAACATTAGGCCATTATTACATACATCAAGAATATGAAGTTACATTTATCTGTATTGTCTTATAAGAATGTCCAAATAACTCGTAACAGAAATTATATATCTTTCAAAAAGTAAGAAAAACATTTGCGACATCACGAAATTTGTATATTAAAAATATAGTGATTCAGAAATGTTTTTGCTTCATATACGATTTCTCGTACTATAAAATATTATTTGATAAAATTGCACGTATATATCAAATGAATTGTAAAGGATACTTCTTGAGAGATCGCTGAAATGCTTCCATTATGGTAGATCTGAAATAATTATAGCGAAGTTAAGTGCATGTTTGCTGAAATAATACGATGACAATATTATTGATGGGAATTAATTTATGTACCTAAACACTTTTTGATGCAGCAAATACGCAGTTATATGTCCTGCATTGATGTAACGAATCTCAACACCTGGCCAGATTTTCTCTAAGCTCATGCAATTGTCGCGAGGCACATATGCATCATCCCTTGCGCACACAGCGATAATAAGTTCAGTATCAACAGGTACTTCGAAATTTTTCAAGTGCGTACACTCGTCCATTATTCCGCACATGAATTGTAAAGCTTCTCGTTCGCGCCACTTATAGTCCGAAAATAATGGATGCCTCGACACTGGCAATAAACAAACTCCTATTGCCAAAGTAATACTCGAAATAATCATGCACGCCTTATATCATGCGCATTACCTGAACTATGTAGTTTATAACAATACAATACGTGAATCTACACGTTTGTACTGCTAGGAGCACGGGTGGAAGTTAATTTGTTATAAATTAGTGTTAGAGAATTCAGAAGTCAATATACTTGAATTAGTAATAAATTAATATTGTTTAATAACACGAATATTTCAATTTCTATGAATTGATTAGGATACTTGCCTTTGAGAGCGTTTGAATCTTTAAATTTAAATCTGTCAGAGATGAGATTTAAAGGGAATATTTTAGTCGCTGTTTTCCCTTCTGCGGCTTGCTTCTTCAGATTATTGTCTTCAATTTTAGTATCACAACCATTCTTTAACTTGTTTTCAATCACAGTTTGATTGTTCTTGGACGTATCTGAATTTTGATTAGCATTTTCAGATGTTCCTTCCAATTCGATAACCCGTTCCATACTTGCTGAATAATGTTGAGCAAAATGTTGACCAGCTAGGAACGCATCCTATGAGAATAATTATCAATTACTTATGAAATCCTTTGAAAAAAATGGAGCAATGCTATCAAATAGACTCGAGTAAACTACGAACCTCCTCACCTACAACCCTCACCATCTTGGCGAGATCGTTTTGATAAAGTTCGTTTGAATAAAATTGGTTTTCTAAGAGCGTCCAGTTAATTGAAGCACTCATTACTCCTTGAGTGAACACTGGTGATGCTGTAGACCATGACAGACAAGGAACTAGCGGTATGGGCTTTGGCCAGTTTGTAGCTGCTAAAGAAGCCATCTGCAAAAGCATATATATATGCATAGATATAGTAATTATACAAGAATTGTACTGAATCAGACGAAAAAAAAAATACGGACATGGCCGCCCATTGATAATCCTGTTAACCCCAAGGGCCCAAAGCCCTGCTGCTCGCACCAATTTAATAAAACAAGCGATTCCATTATTAAACATCCTCCCATGATGAAGATATCACATACATTATGTAAACTAGAACGTCTGAAAACAGAAGAATGCAATGTTTACAATGTTATGAAGACATTAGCGAATTTTTTATCTCCTTCCTATTACAAACCTTTGGAATATATATTCTTACGTTTGATTCTGAGGTTTTCGCGACCCATAAAATGGATTTTCCAACAATAAAGACCCAATTCCAGATTCCTTGAGGAGTGGTTTGGCAATCAAGTTTCTCCTTCTCCAAAAAAACTAATATAGATGAAATTATGCAAGTAATCCAATAATAAACAAGGTAGATATTTTTTATGTGATCTTAAAAATCAAAGTAGTGCCTTACATGGTCTCCTGTGCCAGCAAGGTGTAAACAAATAGGTTTTGTTTTGTGGGAGTGCCATCTACGTGGTAAAACCAATTGAAATTGTGCAGTTATTGTTTCATTTGGCATAATGCCAGGAAGGTGTTTATCAAAAGGACTTTGAAAACAACCTTCTATTATGTGACAGTCTGACCATTCCTCATCCTATATGTAATCAAAAAACAGTTATTAATAAACACTGAGTATTTACTTCAGAGTAATAGCAAAAATAGTTACACTGTCTAATAATAGTTACCTTAGTAATATTGATTGGGTAATCACGGGGGATAAGATTGTAACATTTCTCTCTGTTGGCAACAACTTTTCTGAATTCAAAAATCCTGAAATAAGATGAATTTATTAGTTTAATACTGATTAAATCTTATTTATTTATGTAATTGTAGGACATAATACTTTTTGGAACAATAAACAAATAAACGCTCTGAAATACTACAAAAAAAATATTAATTCAGCATTTGTATTACAATGAATTTTCAATTTTATTAATTTCGTTTTGTTTGTAGTCGGTTTTATCAAAATTAAGTTCCATTTCTTAAAACTGAGTTGAGAAACATTTTAAATAATGACGAATTTTTTCAACAAGTGCATACATTAATTTCAGTAAATCCCGAAACCAATTTCAAAAATTCCATAGGTGATTGATTAGTGTTTTGCTACACACATGACAAGTCACGTCACAGTCATGCCACGGTGGAGAACACTCGAATATTGATCCATACCTAATTCAAGTTTCCATTAGAACAAGGTTATGTTACCTTTTCAAATTCTGAGGACTGCCCCAACCCTTTGTGAAGAATTTTGTGAGTAGGATGCTCCTATAAACGGCGTCCAACCGGCTAGGTGGCATTATGTATAAGATAAATCAAACACCAATCTGGTTATCGGTATCGTACAATCCGTGGAGGCGAAATATTTCCACGGGCCTTGAAAAGATTAATCAGTTCGGTGACGTCCTCTTCGTAATCGCAGATTTTCGTGTTCCTCGCGTGAACTCTCATTTCGTAAACTTTTAAAACGATACCGACAATGTGGACATGTTTCGGGAACCGGTTGCAGATCTGCGATGTTGGAGATAATTATCGAATATTGCGATCAGGCGATCAACACGATCAAATCTGGTGACGTTCTGCGAGTATATCGCATATAAATGTCCACCCCTCGCATCTTCAATCCTGTGCGAATATAATAGCAATTTAGATGGATGGGTTCTTTAAATACCAATGGTTTGAGGGAGGATGTTACGAGACGGAAGCGAGTGCCGCGTATTTTCAAAATTAATATTCGTTCCCATAGGACATCGTGGAATACGAATTTTGGTAGATCTGCGTTTCCGAGTTACCGAGTCCAAATTCGCAATCACTGATTCCAGCGACCTCGCTTTTGTTGCCTCGATTTATCGTCAGGGTGCTGAAAACAAGGAGTGACTACGCAGTCTTTTTCTTCCGATTACATATTCAATGGTATTACCTAAGAGAAGCTTTCTTATTGGCTGAAAAGCTAAAGTACTTTCAATAAAACTCAAATTAATTTCATATTTAAATTCTCTCTTTAATGATACAGAATCGAGAATATTATCTGCATAGTTTAAATTTCAATGACTATTTTAGGTTTTAAACCTAAAGATGGTGTCTTTTAAAATGCATTCGTAAAATCTTTTCGACTTCTCCTTCTATGTTGATAGTGCCAATTCATTGACATTAGGCATACAGTAACTTGGACAATCGAATCGTTACCGTCAGAAAAAGGTCTTATAAGAAAAGTAACCATGTTCGCTATCCAGAACATTGTTAGGCGAGCTCCGCAAATATCCAAAGTCGTTGTGAATCAACGCAGAAATATTGTTGCTGTACCACCCAGATGCAAAGTATCTATTGGCGTAAGTATTATTTTTCATACTGTTTATTACATAATAAGGATGCAATTCATACATAAACGAAAATTCATGAGTGCCAAATGAAGCTAACAAGTTTCATACTGCGACTAGTATATATGATAAATATTGTAATTTATAAATATCGCTAGAAGCATCAAAATTATGTAAGATATCATTATCATATTACATATAAAACAAACAGGTTATGTACTTTTGTGTCATATAATATACTTTTCTTCTACAAATCCAATAGAGTTATATCGAATCAACGTTACTGTTACATATTTAAATTTAATGTATTATACTTCTTCCAAGTGTGTGCACAGATTATTTAATAAACAGTTGAAATTAACATTCACAGTTATATATAAATAAACTAGACTAATTTACAATAGAATTGCGATTATTCGATCTGTAAAATTCATTTTTAGTTTTTACTACTAGATAGCATCGCATTAAAATTCTAATTGGGTTTTGTATGATGGTGTCATACGTGTTAGAATTCTGAACTAGATTTTGCTAGCAGTTTGAGTATTTTGCCATTTACTAATTGGCGCTGTACAGACTCTGAGCATAGCTTCCAGATTTCGCCACTAGAGGCGCTACTGTTTTGCTAGCAGTTTGAGTATTTTGCCATTTACTAATTGGCGCTGTACGGACTCTGAACATAGCTTCCAGATTTCGCCACTAGAGGCGCTACTGTTCGGCTAGTAGTTTGAGTATTTTGCCATTTACTAATTGGCGCTGTACGAATTTCGAACGGAGCTTTGAGATTTCGCCACACAAGAGGCCCTATTATCATTAGAATCCGTGGATGATTCTTGCTGGATTGTAAATAGTTTCTTATGATGAAAGCGGCAAGAATCATCTGTTCTGTATAGATGTAGTAATAATTAAAATTTTTTTAATGAGATAGATGTAGTGGATTTTCCTGAATAATCCTGTGCCCGCGGTTTATTTTTATATGCCCCAATTTTATCATATTTAATGTTTTTCGGCGATCGTGCATTATATACGTAGGTGAGATTTAAATACAGAATAATCAGAACTCTGCTGTATATATATACAATATTTTCTTCACAAAATAATGATTTTATAATGCTGGTGTTTTTATTACAGGAGTTCATGGTTCACTCAGCATTTATGTGGTTGTCCATGATGGGAATACCACTGTACATTGCGTGTAATGTAACGAAGTACAGTGCCGCAAAGGGTTTAGACTAAATAAAAATTCCATGATTTTAGATAAATCCATAGACAATAATTATGTACTGTGCATTTAGTACATGCATAGATAAAATAAAAACCGGTGTTTCGAATGTAAATTTTGAATTGTGAAAGCTACAGAATTAAACGTGATTAACACAAGTTTTCTTTTGTAAACACCTTGAATGTTATTTCCGTCCGCAATAATTACGTTTTGGATCGCTAGACATCCGGAAACGTCTTACTTCGCAGCAAAGGATTATCAAAAAGTTTTATTTTATTTTTATACAATGCACATCACGTAAGTTGGTGTTACATAAATGACTGCAGTCTCACATTTACGATTGTACAAGAAGAGAGTACCACGGAGAAACGGAGCTGGTTATTGTAAAAAAAAATCGGTACACATAAACTGTGATAATACAATGCAGAAAATGTACATTTGAATTAGACAAAGCTGTTGTTACTTCACTCTTTCCGAAGCATACGATTGTTTTCCAGCAAAATTTTGTTACTTGGCACATCGATCGTTTCTATTCTACAACCGTTGTTCAAAAATGGTAATCAATCTGCAACGCTAAATACAAAAGTTCGCTTCTACATACTCTTTTCGATTAAAGAACACATCGAGAACTTGTATATACAAACGTTTGCACACCGTGCACATTTTAATTTCTCTATTTCGCACCGTTAGAACCACTATATCTGAAAAAAGAACTATAAATAATGTTATTTGTTTATGTTCGAAGCAATGGTACGCCTGAAATTAATTTTCTGTTACAAGTGTAATCTCATAGTATTGTTCGCACTGGAATGCCAGCACGGACTAATGACTCTCGTCGAACAACTCTGACCTTGATTTGAGGTCATTGCTCTCGAGAAAACGCGTGGAAGGAATGTAGGAAATTTATCATGCATCCGCAGAGCTTCTGCGATGCAGCAAGTTTGTCGATGCACTTGGAGAACATCAAAAACAAACGCGCGCAACTGGGACGGATTCTGTTTCACGGAAAAGCGTGATTCATAAACGATTCTCGCATCCGTTCAGACGGCTTTCGCTGGTCCTGCTGACCGAATCGTCGATCGGTCAATCGTCGATGATGTGCCTTTTATTTTGCCGGCTGTGTCGGCGTTTTTTGAAACACGTGGCGCAACATTTCTCCTGGACGATCGATGACACGTCGCACATGCGTTTGTACGTCGTGCAGACGGAGGCTGGAACGATGGTGTCCTTGCATTCTGCAACAGATGCGCTCGATGAACAGATTTCTTTTCATTCGTCACGCGAGCGAACGCGTAAAACGCAGAGTTGCTCGACGAAGGAGGAAATTAACGACTGTATTATAAAATAGCATTCTCCGTTAACCCTTTCGGTACGAGCGCCGGATATATCCGGCATCCATCTGATGACCAATATGGACGAGTGCCGAATACATCTCTGGCATCCATGTAAGCCATATTTCTGTAGGCCCTTTACAGAATGTTTACAGGGAACATTTAAAGAAAGATTTAGAAACGGATTAAGCACAGTCGTTACTTAACACTTAGCCGACCGATCGGGTAGATCTACCAATTTCCAAGCTAGTCGGTGGCCGACCGATCGGGTAGATCTACCCATTTCCAAGCTAGTCGGTGGCCGACCGATCGGGTAGATCTACCATTTTGACCTGAGGAACGCTTCTTTCTCTGTGGAACTTCTTATTTCTATAGAGTACAACATAATTATAATAACATGCACTAATTTTTGAGGTCTTTTATTGCCCATTATTACGGTTCTTTATGTTCGGGATTTCCGAAGGTGCCTCTACCAGCCGTAAAATTATTTTATTAGAACACTTAGCCGATCGATCGGGTAGATCTACCACTTTGA